TGACCACCACGGCGCCGCCCTCCACGGCCACGCTGGTGGCCTGGCGGGCCAGGGCGTCCGCCTGCTGCGCGTTGTCCGCCGAGAGCCGGATGGTGGCGGCGAGTTGCTCGACCGACGCGGCCGTCTGTTCCAGCGCCGACGCCGTATGCTCCGTGCGTGCCGACAGGTCGGCGTTGCCGCTGGCGATCTCGCCCGAGGCGTTGTTGACCTCCTGCGCCGTGCTGCGGACCTCACTGACGATCTCGCTTAGGTTGCGCGACACGACCTCCAGCGAGCCCAGCACGCGGCCGGTGGCATCGTTGGAGCGCTCGACGTCCCGCGTGCGCAGGTCGCCGTCGGCGAGGTCGTCGGCAATGCGCGCCGCGCGTTCCAGCGGGCGGGTGATGGCCCGCACGAAGGTCAGCGACAGCAGGGCACACACCACCAGTGCAGCGGCAGAGACGCCCAGCGAGATCAGCGACACCCGGTTGGCCGACGTCTCGGCCTGCTCGACCGCGGTCGCCGCCAGGTCACGCTCGACCTTCACGAAGCCGTCGATCAGCTCCCGCACCTTGGTGTACTGGCCGTCCACCGTCACGACATACCCGGCTGCGTTGGCGACACCGGCCGACTTCATGTCCAGGGCGTCGGCCGCGGTCTTGGCGTAGACGAGATAACTCTTGTGCACGGCGCGCAGGGCCGTCTGCTGGTCAGCGGACAAGTCAGCGTCGTTGCCGGCGTTGTCCAGCGTCTTGCCGAAGGCGGTCAGCTCAGTGAGCAGGCCGTTGTCCAGGTCTTTGATGCGCTCAGCTCGCTGGCCGATCGCTTCCCAGGTCATGCTCTGGTAGAGCCGCTGGTGCAGTTGCGTGAGCTGCGTCGCAAAGGCCTGGGCCGACACGACACGCTCGACGCCAGCGCCGGCGACTTCCCGCAGATCGGTGGTCAGGCTGCGGGCACTGAACCAGCTGATGACCGTGACCAGCATCAGGCACAGGATGGCGATGGCCGGAGCCATGGCGACCTTGACGCCGATGGATGCGTTCTTGAGCAGGTGATTCACGAAGTCCTCCTGACGTCGCACGGCACGCAGTCAAGCCGCGCTCGCCCGGTGGCACCGGGCCGCGCGGCCTGATCGCCTTGCAGCGGCGTGCTGGCTATTGCTTGTAGATGCCCACGCCAATGAAGCCGTCGCCACTGGGCAGCTTGCGGGCGTAGGTGGACTTGGCCATGATCTTCTTCGTCACCGGATCGGGCCAGTCGTAGTCGAACCAGCCACCCCCCTTGGCCGCCAGGGCGACCATGCCGGTCACGATCGGGGTGCCGTTTGCGTCCTTCACGGCCGACATGTCCTTGCCGACAAGCTTCTCGTTGGCACCGTGCGCCAGGGCGACACCTTTGCCGTCGTAGACCATCACGTAGAGGTCCTTCTTCGTCCAGTTGGCCTTGTCGGACGTGAAGTCCTTGAATGCCTTCTCGGCGCCGACCTTCTCGATGTGCTTGTAGGCCGCGTCGTTGAGCGCCTTGGCTTCTTCCTTGGTGCCACGTTCCTGCGCCTGTGCACCGGCCATCAGGCCCACGGCGAACAGGGACGACAGTAACCATTTCAGGACGGACTGGGTCATGGGCTTGCCTCCATCGGTTTTCTCGGCGATCGGCCCTCGACATTGAGGGCGCCCGCTGTTTTATCCAAGCTGGCAGCCGCTGTGAAGCCAGATGACCACCTTCGACGAAGGGGTTCAGGCATCAACTCACGAATTGCGCCGTTGCTTGCAGCGCCGGCCGCAGGTCAGAGCGCGACCGTGCGCCCGACGGCCAGGATCGGGCCGGTCGGCCGCCCGATCGGCGAGCCGGACTCGGGTTCCAGCGTGATCTCGAACAGCTGCTGCGCACCGACGCCTGGCAGCCGCGCGACGGGCATCTGCACGACCTCGCCGGCGC